GTTCTGCTGTGCATGGGGTTGCTATGAGTCGGAAACGACTCGACGGCACTTAACAACAACAACAACAACAGATATACCCATACATGCAAGTGCATGTACTCTCATATGGTTTTCTTGACACATATATGCATACATATCTACCTGTGTACCTACACATATTTTTTGGTTGTTGCAAAATTGTATATGGCATTTACTGAAATTGACCCTTATTCCTGTGTACTTGTTAGTGTCTTCATTTACCTTGGTCAGGTAGTACAGACTTCACCTATATTTAGTACTGTCTTTCCCATCACCAAAAATTATAAGGGTCTGCTATCTACAAAGTGATTCTCCCTTCTTCCCCCTCCCATCACTGGTAACCATCAAAGAATGTTGCTTTCTGTGTGTATACCCATAGTTGACTTTTTATAACAGTGAGATCATATAATATTTGTCTGTTTGTGATTGACTTATTTCAGTCAGCACAGTGTCCTCTAGATTCATCATGTTATATTTCACAAATTCCTCATTATTCTTTCTAGTTGTGAGTATTACATTCTGTGTATGTACTACAATTCATTTATCCACTCATCCCTTGATGGACACTTAGATTGTTTCCATCTTTTTTGCTATTGTGAATAATGCTGCTGCGAACATAGGTGTGCATATGTCTATTCGTGTTACTGCTCTTATGTCTATTGGATTTATACCTAGGAGTGGGATTGCTGGATCATAAGGTATTGCTAGCTTTTTGAGGTTTTCATAGTGGTTGTACCATTTTACAATTCACTAGCAGGGTATAAGAGTTTCAATCTCCCCAGCATTTTTTTTTTTTTTAAATCAGTGCCAGTTTTGCAAGGGTGAGATGTTATCTCATTTTAATTTTGATTACATCTCTCTAGTGGCTGTGGTAGCATAGTGGCTAAGGCACTTGACTGCTAACCAGAAGGCTGGCAGTTCAAACCCACCAGCCACTTCTCGGAAGGAAGGTTGGGCAATCCTACTTCTGTAGTGATACTGCCTCGGAAACCCAAGGAGCGGTCGCTATGAGTCGGGTCTGACTCGACGGCACATAACAACAACAACAAGTGGCTGTTAATCATGAACATCTTTTCATGTGTTTGTTGGTCACCTGAATGTCCTCATTGGTGAAGTGTCTGTTATGTCTTTTTCCCATTTTTTGATTGGATTGTTTGTTGAGTTGTTGAAGTTTTTTATATAGAGATTAGATAATCAGATTAGATTATCATACATGTTATTTCCAAAGAGTTTTTTTCCCCAGTCTGTAGGTTCTCTTTTTACTCTTGTGGTAGAGTCTTTTTATGAGCATAAGTATTTAATTTTTAGAAGGTCCCAGTTATCTATTTTCTGTTGTTTGTGCATTGTTAAAAATGTTTGATAGACTGTGCCAAAAATTAGGTTCCCTAGTTTTATCCTTATGTTGTCTTCCAGGAACTTTATAGTTTTAACTTTAACATTTAGATCTTTGATCCATTTTGAATTAGTTTTTGTGAATGGTGTTAGATATAGATCCTGTTTCATTTTTCTGCAAATGAATATCCAATTTTGCCAGCACCATTTGTTAAAGGAGACTGTTTTTTCCCTACTTAATGATCTTTGATCCTTTGTCAAAGATCAGTTGCCAGTAGATGGAAAGATTTACTTCTGGGTTACTAATTCTAGTCCATTGGTCTATGTGGCTGTCATTGAACCAGTGCCACGCTGTTTTGATTACTGTGGCTGTATAGTAAATTTTGAGATTGGGAAGTGTGAGGTCTCCTATTTTGATTTTTTTCCTTCAGTGTTGCTTTAGCTATTTGGAAACTCTTTTCTTTCTGTGTAAAGTTGGAGATTAGTTTTTCCATTTTATTAAAGACCTTTGGGATTTGGATTGGGATTGCCTTATATCTGTAGATTTCTTTGGGTAGTATTGACATTTTCACAATACTAAGTCTTCCAATCCATGAGCATGGAATGTTCTTCCAATTATGCAGGTCTCTTTTGTTTTCTGTAGTAGTGTTTTGTACTTTTCCTTGTATGAGTCTTTTACATTCCTGGTTAGGTTTATTCCTAGTGATTGCATCCTTTTGAGGATTATTGTAAATGGTATTGCTTTCTTGATTTCCTTTTCGGAGTTCTTATTAGTGTGTTGATCTTGTACTCTGCCACTTTGCTGAATCCTTCTATTAGTGCCAGTAACTTTCTTTGGGAGTCTCTAGGAATATTTATCTATAGGATCATGTCATCTACAAATAGGGATAGTTTTACTTCTTGCTTTACAATTTGAATGCCCTTTATTTACCATTCTTACCTTATTGCTCTGGCTAGGACTTTTCGTACAATATTGAATAAGAGTGGTGATAATGGGCATCCTTGTCTCATTTTTGTTCTCAAGGGGATTGCTCTTAAACTTTCTCCTTGAAAATAATGTTGGTTTTTGGTTTTTGCATATATGCCCTTAATTATGCTGAGGAATTTCCCATCTATTCTGTTTTGCTGAGAGTTTTTAATCAGAGAAGGGTGTTTGAATTTTATCAAATGCCTTTTTTTTGGGTCAATTGATATGATCCTTTGATTTGTTTTTTCTTTGTTTTATTTATATGATGAATTATATTGATTGATTTTCTAGTATCAAACCACCCTTGTATTCCTGGTATGAATCCCATCTGATCATGATTTTTTTTTTTTTTGAATAATTCTGTTGGCTAGAATTTTGTTGAGGATTTTTGCATCTATATCCATAACAGATAGTGGTCTTTTTCTGTTTCTGTGGTATCTTGGTCTGGCTTTGACATCAGTATCATGCTGGCTTCATAGAGTGAATTGGGGAGTATTCTTTTCTATGTTCTGTAACAGTTTTAGTTGAATTGGTATCAACTGTTCTCTGAAAATTTGGGTCATTTGGGGCAGGGCTTTTATTCTTTGCATGGAAGAAGCACTTTTTTTTTTTTTTTTTAAGTAATCAAAATCTGGCTAGTGGTCTTTTTACCTTCAGTGTTGTGATTAGTGTAGTTAGTATTGCTTTTTTTTCTTTTTTCACTTTTTGTGATTTGGGTGAAATTTTACAAACCACATTTGTTTTACATTCAACAGTTCATACACACATTTTGTTTTGTGATACTGGTTACATTTCCCACAGTATAACATCTCACCTCCCACTTCCTCCCTGTGGTTACCCTTTCCCTGTGTCCTTCTTGCCTGTGCATGCCTGGCTTCCTACATTTACCCCTGTGCAAATGGTGCCCTTCTGATGTCCCATGGTTGATTGTTCTAAGGAGTGCATCTCCCTGGAGCAGGTGTTCAGCTTGTAGGCATCTATTGTTTGGCTGAGAGTTAAGCCAGGGGAGTGAGATCAATTCTAGGCCTGAAGGGTGACTTGGGGCTATAGTCTTGGGGGTTTTACCAGTCTCTGTCAGGCCAGTGAGCCTGGTCTTTTTTATGATTTTGAGTTTTGTTTCACATTTTTCTCCCACTTTATCCAGGATCTCCAATTTTGATCCCTTTCGAGTGGTGGGCATTGGTAGCCAGGCATGATCTAATTCTTATGGTCGCTGGGTCATATAGATTAGGGTTCACATGGTCCATTAGTCCTTTGGGCTAATTGTTCCCATTTGTCTTTGATTTTCTTCACTCTTCTTTGCTCCCGATGAGGAATATTGTTTTTTTCGTTAAGTGAATACATTGATTAACTCATTTGGACAAAATTTACTCATAGTGATTACTCATTTTATTTTACTTCTAGGGTAAAAATCATGGTAAGAAACTCCGAAATTATTATGCAGCAAATAGCTGTCCTCCTCCTGCCAGAATGAGCAATGCAGTGGAGCCTGTGGCTACTCCAGTTGCTTCTGTTCCTCCACAGGTGAGACATGTGGCATGAGGATTTGGCCTGGTGAACCCAAACCAGAAATCACTCAGTGTCAGGGTGAAACAGTGTCAGAGTGGAAGTTGTCATGTGCAGAAATTGTCCTAAATGCCCCTGAGAGTCCAATTGGGCAAATACTTTTGGACAACCAACCTTCTTGATATTTTGTGACCCTTGAGATTTCTCATTGACTTCAGTTGTGTTTTATCATGAAATGATAAAACAAATATTGTTATGTTTTATTTTTTGTCTTTGTATTTCTCATAATTCTAGGGTAAAGGATTTTGAATGTTCAGGCTAAGCTCCAGATTAAAAGAAATATTTTAAAGCATTTATTTCTTTATTGCAGTTAACCCCACTTATATTTTGTCTTCAGTAGTAAGGTAAGTTTCTTGAGTTTGCCCTTTCTTACCTCTCTGCAGAGACAATATAAACTCTTCTCTAGACTTTGGTATGAGGAGCTACTCCTGAGAGCTGAGTTCCTTTAGCTGTTTGGAAGATAAAACAAGTGACTTTGGGAATATAACTCCTGTAGCTTAATAGCCTTTGAATATAGATTCTACTCCTTAAACTCTTTGTGGTATTATATATTCACAGAACAATTTCATTAGTGATAAATAATAAACCAAAACCAAACCTATTGCCGTTGAGTCGATTCCGACTCGTAGTGATCTTATAGGACAGAGTAGAAATGCCCGGTCGGGTTCCAAGAATGTAAATCTTTACGGAAGTAGACTGCCTCATCTTTCTCCCACAGGGCAGCTGGTGGGTTCAACCCACCAATCTTTTGGTTTAATAGCTAAATGCCTTAACCTCT